CTCCTAGATTCCCATCTCACACTAGTAATCTCCTGTGATTATTCCACAAGTTCATCAGGAGTTTCAATTCATTAATCCTACCATTTTTTTCATTATTTATCAAGCAACTTCTTTTCCAGCTCATATTCACATTCCATCGTAAGTACTGTCTTGCAAATACCCATAATTCTCCTATAACCATCTCCCTCCAGATCTCACCTGGCTAAACATTAACCTTGGTTGACCCAAACTTTCTACATTCTCTGATCTTCAGGCAAAATAGATGATTACTGCCATGAAAAATAATGCGTCTGAGTTTAAAAATAAAGACCACAAATAAACAAGCTCAAAATCCTATTCTTTTCCTCAACCCCTCCCCTTATTCAATCCTTTGAAACTGATTTGTTGAAGAGACCAGGCTGTTTCATACTAATTTCCCAGTCTAAATTTTGCTAATCACATCTTTTATTTGCTATGCTATACTGCCCTCTATACTGTTACACATTAACAGCTTCAACTAGGGGACTTGTCCTGTAAGTCACAGATTTTAGCCTTGTTTTTCATGAATTTAAGGTGACACAACTGATTTTTAGTTCCTCTTCCTCTTTCCATGTTCTTCCAAAACATCTACACATCAATCTTTAATTAAATTCACATTCATTGTTTTCATTATTAGGAATTATGTAACTATTACTGCTGAGACAAACTACCTATTATAATTACATTTCCTTAGTTGTGAATTTTTTCCTGGAGTTACTATTACCTTGTTATTTAGGGTTTTCCCTAAAGATCTGAGGTCTCTGACACTTTGAAATACACCGAAGTTCCTCTCAATATAAATTTCCATGAAGTCAAATTTGAATAATTTTCTAGGTCTATTATAGTGGCCAAAGAAGGCCTCTCTGACAGTGATGTATTAAACACAGACCGGAGTGAAGTGAGGGCGAAAGCTTCCATCTGACTAGTTGCGCCAAGTTTTCCAGGCAGAGGGAACAGTAACTACAGACTCTCACAGGAGCACGCAGGGAGTGTCTGAGGAACACAGTGAGACGGGATAACGTAGGAGACAGGATCAGAAAGGAACATAAGCCGGGTAAGGTCAGGCTTGTAAGCCACCATAAAGAGCAGCCAGAAGAAAAGAGATAATATGTAAGAAATGGAAGAAAAAAGAAAGAGTACATCTAATGGGAGGAAAACAAGAATTCAATTTTGGAGATGTTAGGTTTGGAAATCTAAGTAAAAACAGCAGTAAGGAGCTTAAGGAAGAAGTCAGGATTAGAGATAAAAACAGAGATTCTGTTTCTTGTTCTCATCGTTTCTAATCTTAGAGACTAGAGAGGGGACATATTTATTCCTAAACCTACCCCAATCTGACTTTCATCCTCACCATTCTACCTTTAACTGTTCACACCAGGAGTCAATACAGAACTCATAAGGTGTCAAATCCAATGACCTTCACTTCCTTCTTGAACTCTATGAAGCAATCCACTGTTAACAATTCCCTCCCTGAACTTCAGACTTGCATATCCAATTTGTCCACTTGATACCTCTATCTAAAGAATAATTTTATCAGAAGTTAACCTATAAAAAAATCTAACTCTTGATTTGTCCACCTTAAATCTCTTCTTTCTCCTTATTCTTATCTCAGTAAAGTCTAATAATCCAGACAGTGGCTCAACTTTAAAAATTAAGAAATCCTTCTTTCCTTTCTCTCCTTTCTTTTTTCCCCCTTTCTCTCCTTTCTCAAACACACTGCCTCAGCAAGGACAAAATGCATCTCCACTCTGCCTGCCTCTCCCAGCTCCACTGCCTCCACCCCAAGTAATGCCCTCGTTCTCTCTTGCCTTGAACTATTATTGCAACATACTCCTACCTAACTGGGCTCCTTGCTTTCTTCTTTAAGTCTCTCTGTAAACAGCAGCCAATTTTAAAATGTAAAGCACGATGTAGAATCCATCAATGGCATCCAGTGCATTCAGAATAAAATCTGATCTGTTTATCCCTAATGATCCGTTCCTACTCTGTATCTCCAATCTAACCTTTTCCTTTTCCCCTCACTCTTTGTAGTCAGGTTAAATAGACCTTTCTGTTTCTTGAACACTTCGAAATCTTCAAGTCTTTAGATTTGCTGCTTCCACTGCCTAGACTGCTCTTCCTACACCTTTTCCCATAGCTGGCTCCTTCTCATCTCTCAAGTCTCAGTATGAACGTCAGTTCCTCACCACTCTGCCTAAATTACCCCCTTCTTTACTCTCGATCCTAACATTCTGCTTCTCCATGGGGCTTACTAGTATCTTGATAACATCATACTTTTTCATTTAGTTTGTTTGCCTCCGCAATACCAGAATGTAAACACCATCAGAGCAGAGGTCCTGTGTGTCTTATATTTCTAGCACCAACATTAGTCCCTGGACATAACAGGCAGTCATTTATTTGCTGAAAAAATTAATCAGACCTTTACATAAAGATGTATGTATAATCAGGAAATCTGTATAACTTTTTTTTTTTTGTAGGCAGGGGAAAAACGAATAAATAGAGAAACATTTTCTACTCAATCATTTTCCACAGCCAGTTTTAATGTTCCAAAGTTTAATTACCAGACCAGGGAAGCTACCCTGAACTGAACTCAACACTTTGGAATTTTGCAGCATTTTTATGTCAGCAGAAAAGTAAAAACACATTGAAATGTTTGCCCATTGGTTTTTATGACAGGGTATGTTGTGACCAGCTTCCCACCACCCCATTTCCCTCCTCCTCCCCAATCCCCCTCAGAGTCAACTCCTGGAACAAGACAAGTCCCCCCCCCCCCCCCCAGGGTGGCTGGGAACAGTGGCTGTTCCCAGGATCCTTCCCCCTAGGGTTGCCAAGAACAAGCTTCAGAACAAGGAAGAAAAGTCCCAAGTTTCACAAAACCCCCAAGTTCTCAGTAGATGAACAATGATGGAAAACTTACCAAGGCTTGATTAATTGCTGTTGTATAACCATAACCATTGTGATATGAGATGTATCCATTGTCAACTGAAGCTGTATTAATTATTGTTACTTTACTGTAACCATTGCTGTATCCATGACTACCCAAGCTGTAAACACCCTTAACCAGCCACATTTCACTTCTATAATATGCTTGCACAAAACCCATAAAAGGCAACGCAGTGCACCCCTACTTGGCTGCTGCTGCCACCTAGTGCAGCAGTCCCTGCGTTAGGTAAAATAAATTACCAATTAATTACATCTAAGTGGGGGTCTGACTCTATCCTTTCAGGTCATAGGGGGGTACCAGAAGTATTCCACATAAGAGCCATGCAATAAACAGAGAAAGATGATCTGTGTTTTAGGTATCTTCTGTGAGCCCCTCTTGACTCACACTCCTTCCTTTCCTGCCTTCTTACTCTTTCTGTCCCAGGGGCCATTGTGCATTAATCATCCTGACTCCATGCTGGGTTCAGACAATGGGAAGTCTCACTAGGAAATTAAGGAGACTTAAGGAGTCAGTGACTCTCCAGGCACTGACTCTACTCATTATCTCTAAGTTCTGAAACTGCTCCCCACCATCATCTCTTTCACTTTTTCCTCTTTAGGTCTAGGAGTAGTTAACAGCTTGGCTGCTAAGAAATCTTGGGATAGGCTCAGCGATAGCTGTATAGCACAGTGGTTACAGCGTCAGCATATACACCGAGGCTCGTGGGTTGGAACCCTGCCTGAAAAATGACAACTGCAACAAAAAAATAGGCGTTGTGGCGGACACCTGCAGTTCCAGCTACTTGGGAGGCTGAGGCAAGAGAATCGCTTAAGCCCAAGAACTGGAGGTTGCTGTGAGCTGTGATGCCACGGCACTCTACCAAGGGCAATAAAGTGAGACTCTGTCTCAAAAAAAAAAAAAAAAAAAAAAAAAAAAAAAAGAAAGAAAGAGATCCTGGGATACTGTCTTAACCCTTGTGGTTTTCCTACTTTACATCTTTATAAATAGCTTCTCTGTAAATACACCTTCTTTTAATTATCTTGTTTCAAATGTACTATCTGTCTTCCATTAGGATGCTGGCTGATAAAACATATATTTAGTAAAGCTGATGTGAAAGGCTGTTCATGATATATCTATTAGAAAAGAGTTATAATATATCTCTATATGACCATATGTGTAGTATACATGTACTTAGACACATACCCAAAATGCCAATTGTGAGTATCTCTGGGTAGTAGGATTTAAAGGGATTTTTTTCCCTTTTCTTTTTATATATTCATGTACAATTTGAATTTTCTTAGCAAGCGTATATACAAATAATATATATATTTATAAATAGTTACTTTTAACCAAGATTATAGCTTCCTTAAAAGAAGCCTATAAATTTCTTTCTAATCCTGACAGCTCCATACCAGCCTTTAAACTGTCAGCAAAGTGATTTTTCTCTCAGGCAAATGAGACGATGTTATTCCTTTGCTTAGGATTTTTCAATGGCTCTCAATGTGGCAAGCAGAAAGAGCTACATGAAAACACTTAGCTAGTCTTCTGCACGGTGTACTAGGCCCATCAAAAGCTGACTCCTTACTACATATTTGGCCTCACTCTTGCCCGTTATCCCGGGCACTGATTATTTCTTCTGTATACTGTGCACTTTTACCCTCATGCCTGCATCTCTGTTGGCAAGAAAGCCTTCTCCTGGCTTATTCTCTTAATCAAGCCCTACTCATCCTGTCAATTTCAGATTAGAGTCAAGCTCCCCTTCCCTGATGCCTTCAAAGGGATTTTGCTTCTGCTCCCATGACATTATGTTGCAGTCCTGCAGCTATTCTTAGATATTTCTTCCAACTTTTGGAAAGCAGAGACCATCTATTTTTTCATCTTTGTATTCTTAATGCCTAACACTGTAACCAGTACAAATACCGGTTGTAAGAAAAAATCTGCTTTTATCTATATTCTGCTGGTTTAAAGGTTACCCC